ATAAAAAATAGGGGATTCCATTTAAGAAATTAAAGGTGTCCTTGACTTGACCTTAACGATGCCATCCAAGGTCAAACCAATGACACCATCTTATGTTCTCCTCAAAACCATACAATTTTGGTTCAAAACGTTTTTCTCTAAAATGCTTAGTTTTTGAAAGAAAAGGGGTGTACGGGTGGTCTAGGACACCCTGTATACATATATACAAAATAATATTTTTGCTGTCTCTTTACTGCTATTTTACTGTCCTTTTTTATCGGTTTATATTCTATTGGAGAATATTATAGCTCAAATAATAAATAAATCAGAATAATATTTAAGACAGTATTTATTATTGTCTTCCTATTTTACTGTGCATCCTGTTATTTCTTTCTGCGATTTGTAAGTTCTTACAATATCAAATGTGTTGCTCGCTCGATAGACCGCGGTGAATTGGTCGATCGATTGTTCTATACGCTTCGGTTTGCCTCTCGCGATCATTTTCGTCTAATGCTCGTCAGACCGCGCCTTTATTTCGCTCAGTTATTAGCTATCTCGCTCACGCATTGCCGGCGCTCGCATTATCGCTTATTATCGGTCTTTCATCGGCCAGTACATAATAGCGATATGATTCATTGTGTTGTTTAGCATTGTGATGCCATCTTCTGCGTCATAGATCATTCTCTGTTTCGAGTGATTCCGTCCTTTTCAGACGTGTAACGCGATACGCATTTTCACGATATTCAGAATATTCCGGTATCCAATCAACAAATGTGCTCGACTAATCATTGAGACATAGTAATCTGCTTCTACATATCTCATTTTTACTCCTTTTCGTTTCTTAATAGCTAAAAATCACGCAAGAATGACATATATTACCTGCCGATAAAATTAGACTTGCAAAACGAATTATAATTCTTATAGCTTGGCGACGCATGTTTGAAAAAATGAGAATGTATGTTAAAAAACTTTTAGCAAAAAAATACCTTTTTGAATTTTGAAAAATAAAAGTCTATTTTCCGGGACACGTATCATAAGCGTCTAGAGTTTCGTAACGCTCACTTGATTCGACTCACTCGATGAATTGGTTATCGATCGATTTGATATTTCGCTCGCTATGCAATCAGCACACCAATTTCATCCTACACTCTCGTTACTCTGGATTCTTCCTTTCGTTTCTCGCCCGCTCGCGCTCCCCAGAGATATAAACAAGCATACAAACGCAGAGGATATTCGCGCGCCAAAACAAGAAAATCGAGTTTTCGAAAGAAGGCCGTTCGTAAAAATTAAAATTTGCTAACAAAGCACAGCTACGAAATGTAAGGTCAATGTTCCAAGAAATATGTAAAAGCGATTTTCGTTGATAATATTATATTTCTTTCATAATATAATCAATTGTTATTATTAATAACCATATTGTTAATAAACATATAATAAAGAATAATATAATATTAATAATAATAATGTATTAATAATATTTCTCACCTTGTTATTATTATCATTATTATCTATATCATTTATAAAATCTCTTTTTTCTTAAAGGATAAAAAAGTTATATAATTGTACGTTCTTACCATGATTATTACAACAGTAAGTTAGAGTAATATGAGTTATATAATGCTCCGATATTAATTAATGTTTCCATCATTGTTTTGAACGCAAACAACTTGTGTTATACCTAAACCCAATACATATAATCTGACCTGTCCTGAAAAAGGTACTTTGTCATAATTATATAACAACGATGCACTAAGATAGCCCGCAAATTTCGATTACGTGCATTACCTATAATATTGCAAGGATATAAAAGTTGTGGTAAAACAGAGCTAAATCAATACAAATGATTTTTAACATTGTTACGTCAATGGTGTTTATGTCCT